AGTCTGATAGTTTATGTACAGATTTTGTTCTAAGTAACAAAATTTCTTAGAGATCTTAGAAACAAATAAACATGATATAATTTATGTTTTAAAAGGAATTTTGGCTGCTGTGTGCAAAGTACATGGGAGTGAAATAGAGAAAATAAGAAACTGGTATAGGGGTATTATAAGAGACCAGAAAAGAAAAGATGGGAGCTTGGACTAGGCTGGTTGTAGTAGAAGTGTTATGAAGTTTCACGAAGATTTTGCTAATTAAATTATTCGAGGTCTGTGAGAGATAAAGAGAAATCAGGGATGATTGGAACATCTAGGGTTTGTTCAAATTGGTGAGTTGAGAAAGAAAACAGTTATTTTGTTTGGCTTTGATTTGTTTTTCTGTTTTGTTTTTAGAGTATTTTTGGAGGCTTCTTAATAAGCAGGTCAGTTGATGAATTCTTAAATTTCATATGCTTATTTGACAGCAAAAGGCATGATCAAAACAAATGGACATACATTTTGAGTTCACAGAAGTCATGGGAACTGAAATATAAATATATGAGTTGTCAGCTTATATATGGTACTTAATGATTAGTAGTCTGAGTAAGAGCACCTAATGAATGAAAAAAAGGCAGAGACCAATGTATTTAAAAAGTAAATAAATTAATTAAAAATAATAATAAAAAATAAATAAAAATAAATAAAAAAATAAATAAATGGAGAAAAAAAATAAAGGATACGAATACAAAAAAAAAAAAAAAGAAAAAGAGAGATATGGGAATAAAATGGAAGGGGGAAAAAAGATGTCCAAAGGTCTCTGGGCATTTAAAACACTGAACTTTGGAGGTATTAGCCATGCATTGAAGGCTAAGAAGTAACATACAATGTATAGAGAATAAGAAAAAGGAAGATGGAATGAGAACTGAGAAACGCTGACATTTAAAAGACGAGCTGAGGAAGAGTAGCTCACGCTTCATTTTTGGCCACACCGCCTTCATGTTGCTGTCTTCTGTCTTAAAATTTCACATTGAAAGTATTCAGATGACACTTGCTGAATGAGACAAATAAAAATTTTCAGCTCAGTGTGAATAAACTGCTCTGGTATTGGTAAAGACATAAGGTTTTCATTTCTACCATTGATTTGTTATTCTGCTTTTTTTAAAAAAAAACATTTATTTATTTTTAGAGTGAGGGAAAGGGAGGGAGAGGAAGAGAAACATCAATGTGTGGTTGCCCCTCCCACACTCTATCTACTGGGGACTTGGCCCACAACCCAGGCATGTGCCTTGACTGGGAATTGAACTGGTGAACCTTGGATTCACATGCCAGCACGCACTCCACTGAGCCATACCAGCCAGGGCTGTTATTCTGCTTTTATAGCTAAATTCCTGGAAGCCAATGTCTGTTTCATCTAATTAATCTCTTCTATTACAATTATTCAGTGTTTAAGACTTGGTAAAGAAAGCAGAGGAAATGGGTTGAGGGTGGCTTGAAAACGAAAATAGGATAATAAGAAGATAGAAAGGAAGATGCAGTTACAACTTAACTTTTACCTCTTTGAAAGGACTCATTTTGCATATTCATAATTTACAAAGTTTTTTTCTAATTTCAAACTTCTCTTCAAGTGAAGAATTTCCACAGAAAAATGTAAAAGCTTTTAAAACAAATGGATATAAATATAGAATAGAAGGCACTTTTAAAAATACATACTGACATTTCTCTACGCCTGTCAATACAAAATGGTTGTGTGTTTGTACAGTGAAAAAAGATTGATATCAGAGGAAGAATTCTGCATTAGAAGAATTTTGCATCAATAAGTCTGTGTGTGGGGAGGAGATTAATTTAGTGGAGAACCAAAGACCAGCCAAATCTTTAGAAGAACATGTATTAGACAACTTTCCTTAAGACATGCATTGGAATGCAGTAAAGACAAAGTTAAATTTCAGGGACTGATGGCTAGATAGTTACTACAAAATAAAATTTTGTAATTACTAATGGTACATTAAATTAATAATTCATTAATAAGTAGAATATTTCACTGTAGTGTTTCCAGTTAAGTTTTGTTTACATTATTTTTCTTATGAAAGCCAACATGTCCTTTTCTATAAGTCTGAGGTTATGTGTAATTGCTAAAATTTCATTTTATATAATCATTTACTCTTCATATGGTATATTTTTTACTAATTGCTGTTGTAAAAATTTTCAGTAATATAACATAAAGTACTACTCTCTTTCCCTACAATGAAACCTTTACAAACAACAACAAAATGAAGATGGTAAAGTGTTAGAATAAATTACAGTTTACATGCTCAACCATAGTATGTCTTTATTTATCAGCTGGAAATTGTTATAACTTAAGAGTTTGATTTTGTTTGAGTATAATTTGGGTTTTCTTTCATTTTTCAATATCATTGGTCATTAGCTTTATACTTATAAAAACCATGTTCTTAGTGCCTGTTTATAGGCTTTTCCAATTTATGTTATTTAAAGGCCTTTTCTGTGAACAGAAAGGCATAGACCCTGATATGAGAAAAGTGTGTTTATGAAAGCTTTCATTGATTAAGATCCACTAATAGGCTATCTCCTACTTACTAATAGGTTTTGAGGCACATAAATATTTCTGAGCCCAATATTTAGAAACAATAATTCCTGTTTCCATGGAAACAATTTTGTATATGTTTCTGCACCAACTCTCAAAGCTTATTCAATCATAATGTAACTAAAATAATACTAATGGAGTCTCTGGATTCCTTTGCCTGGGTCCAGATCTCTGAGGCCCTCTGGACCTGACAATAAGGGGAGTAAGATGGAAGTGGCTTCCTACAACAATTCCCATGGAAACACGCAGAGAAGTTTCTCAAAGGATGAATGAAGAGAGCAGCTCAAAGCCTCATTCAATGGTTTTTCATAGAGTTCTCTAGGGAGGGTAGAATGGATCCTTTTTCAAGGGGTCTTGAAGAAAGGCTATCGTATGCTAAGAACTAAATGCAGAATAGAATAATGAAAATTATTTTAAAGCCTTAATTTTATTTTTATGTGTACACCTTTAAAACTGGTGGTATAGTAAGAAAAATGCAGTCATACCTCGATACTGGTCAGCTTCAGAACTCGTCAAACCTTGTACTCATTGCATTTTGATAAGAAAAAAAATGTTTCAGCACTCAATGTTTTCGCAACACTTGAGGCCTCTCTCTAGCAGTGAAACAGAGGTTGATGCATCAATCTCACAGTTGCTCCTGAACAGTTCTGTACTTGGTTTCAGTACTCTTCATGAGTTCCAGAACGCATTAATGATGAGTACTAAGGAACCAATGTAAAAGAAAAAAATTGGAAATCTTGGAGTCAAATTAATACTATTAACAAACTTTGTGACCTTGGTAAATTACTTAACCTCTCTAGGCCTACTTCCCATTGTAAAACTTGAGGGACTTTAATGAAATGTTGGGTTGGCCAAAAAGTTCATTAGGTTTTTTTCTGCAAGATGGCTCTAGGAGTGCTTAGTTGTCTTGAAGCTCATTCAAAGCCATTTTGTTAGATTGTATTGTGACAGCAGTCATATCAGCATGCATTTAAAAAACATCAAAATTGGTAAATTTTTGTGTAGCCATTTTAATATTGAAAATGGAAAAAATACACAATATTTTCAGCATATTATTATTATTTCAAGAAAGGTAAAAATGCAACTGAAATACAAAAAAAATGTGCAGTGTATGGAGAAGGTACTGTGACTTATCAAATGTGTCAAAAGCGGTTTGCTAAGTTTCATGCTGGAGAGATTTTTCATCGGATGATGCTTCAAGGTCAGGTAGATCAGTTGAAGTTGATAGCAATCAAATTGAGACATTGAGAACAATCAATGTTATACCACATGGGAGAAAGCTAAAATACTCAAAATATCCCAATCAATAAAGTTATTGGTGAAAATGAAAAATGTGTCTTTTATTTTACTGAAAAAACTAATTGCACTTTTTGACCAACTAAATGTATGTATATATTATATATGTGTGTGTATATTAGCTTTAAAATGTTTGATTGTGCCATAGTAGTATTATAATGAAAAAAATACAGTGAAAATGGAACCAGTGAGTGGTCAGGTGACATCTTCTTACTTACCATACATTGTGTGATGCATTATATTTTTTGATGAATAATAATGGTAATAATAGTAATAGACATGGCCACAATTACTAAGAGTATCAAAATTTTACCCACTAGAGCAATAGTTCTCACACTTTGTTAATCATCAAAATCACTTGGGACTTTAAAAAAATTGACAATCTTAAATCTCACCTCAAACCTAATTTTTTGAGGTGGAGCCCAAGCACTTATCTTTATAAAATAGCCTCTTATGTGATTCTGATGACATCTGGGTAGGGAACCGTTATAATAGATGTCCTGAGTGAATGGAAATGAGAATTTAGCATGATTTATAGTTTTCATAACAAAGTTTTTTGGATAGAGTCCTCAAAATTGGTTTGTTTTTCATGTTTTTTCTTTTTCTGTAGTCCTGTTTAAATGTAAGTCTCCAAAGTAAACCATTTCTTCTTAAAGGTAAATTTTAGCAAATAAGTTCTAATTTTTAGAATCTGACATAATATAGTTTCTTGTTGAAATATTTAATGGGAATATTTATTGTTAAATTACCCTTTCTTACAGATTTTGAGCAAAGGGCATATAGCAAATTAAAGACAGTTCTCTGTTTTAAAGCAAAAGAGGCTAACATTCCTAATATTTATTTCTAGCATGCTACAATGTTTTTATCATTGTGGCCATACCTGAATATAAATTATGTCATTTTTGTTTTTGATTATCACAGAAACTATAGGGTTTTTTTATATTTTAACTTTATAATTATTGTTTATACTATTTAATTTGATTTTAAAAACATATTCAGGTAACCCATAGAAAGGACATCTATTATATTTGTTCTATACATGTTTTTTTTTCCTTTTTATACAGTGTAGAGAGAGCTACAAAATAAATTTAAATATGTATTTTGAAATATAATCATTTCAATCACTAAGCAGAGGGTTAACACTTCACACAATGTGTTAATAAACTCTGTATTCATCAATATTCAAATACATTTATGATATTTAAATATGTTCTTATTTTCCTTGCATATGAAATAATATATATATAGTTTTTCTCATTTGGGAATTTATTAATTTTTCAGAAACAATACTTGACAGTGAAATATTGTACAGATCCCACAGTGTAATAAAGGTAGTTTTCCAAAAGTTTCACAGAACAGTAGCAGCATTTTTGACCCAAAGAATGCATTAAATTGTAAGGAAATGGAAATTTTGATGGACTTTATTACTTCATTAGTTACTTGATATCATTCCTAAAGTAAGTAGCCATAGAAACAAAATAAATTAAAAATATCTTACTGGTCTTTGTCACTATTTTAATCACTCTCACTCTTCCTACTTTGTGTTATGCTTCTGTTCTTCCCTGGTGTCTGTTTTCTAACACATCATTGAAGCACCTTTTTATTTCACAGAAAGTGACTGTCCTGTAGATAAGCGTGCTCAAAGTGTTCTTTATGTTATATTTTACACTAAAGATGACATAGTTTAGACCTTTAGAAACAGTTCTTCAAAAAGTAATGCAGGGAGGTAGCACTACCATAGAGGCCCAAATTGTGAGGATACAATTTGGTGTGGGTAGGGTAAGATATTGACAAGATCCCCCTTTTATACAGTTATTTCTGTGACTATAGGATCACAGGAAGGTCCTGAGTATATGTTTTGAATTTTTCCTTCAATTTCAGAATGACTCGTTTGTGTATACCAGTGTCCCAGCTGTTGTCCACTTTGTAATGAATTAGTATTGAACTCAGAAATTGGGTTTCTGCCAGAGGATTCTGGCAGTGAACATTCTCCTATAACAACATATGAGTGATAGCAGTAAAAATACCAGGGGGCTTCACAAGGATTCAGAGCAATGGCTTAACTTCAACATAGAGATGATCACAGCAAGCACAGCTTATTGTTCTACCCTGGTGAGTGGTCTGTTAGGTGCCTGTATGTAAATGAAGATAATTAGAAAAGAGTGCCAAAATGTACCCTCCATGAGAAAATGTACAGTTCTTAAAAAGATCATTCTGCAATCATAAGGAGCCTTTGTGAGGGGCATAAAACCCCCTTCTATGAGAGGTTTAATATCTTTTGAGACATCGGGAGGAGTACCATTTTGAACAAAGGCCAATTGGGATTTCTCCAGGAATGCAACGCATCTTCCCAGTGTGACCTTCAGAAATAAAGTTTTAATTTCCAGTTTAACTATTCATCTTCTATACGCATTCCTTCATGGGTTTCCTTTTTGATAACAAGCCAAGGTGATTAATTTAAAGAGGAGAAACATTAAATAGGAAACACTTTTCTTAAAAATGTGTGGGTAAGAAGCTTTATGTAGTCAAAGAAAAAAGAAAGACAATTTTGAAAGAAAATTTAGCACACTCTCTGTGACAGAATAAGGTAATTGGGTTCTTTTTATAATTAATGTTTGATTTTTTTATGATATTACAGTTGTCCCAATTTTCCCCCTTTGCCCTCTATACCCAGCCCACCTCCCACTTCCATTGTCAGTCTCTACACAGATGTCCATGTTCATGGGTCCTTCATATGTATCATTTGACTAGTCCCTTCACCTTCTTTCAATCAGTCCTTGTGCTGTGGGTTATTTGTTTTTTAAAAGTTTGTGTCTCACCTTACAGAAAAAGAAATTGCTTCTGTAATGCAGTAACATCACTTTTTCATAATTAAAAATGTAATCCTTCTTCTTAATTACCAGCCACATGGAGTTCTACTCATGTGGAATTTTTATCATTTATTTGTTTGTTTGTTTATTTGATGAATGGCTCTTCCTCGCATTACTTTCATTTATGTATTATATTGTAAATGGTTTTAAAGGCAGAGCATGACTAATGAAATCCAGTTATCTGAGTCATCTAGTGTATAACACATTGGCAAAACATGGTAATGGAAAAAATACATGAAGCTTACATTAAAAAAAAAACAAGAAAAATTAAAATCAGTACTATCAGGTCATTGGTTCCTGTCAGTGATGAAATTGCAAACTCTGAGAGGACAAGAGCATTGCCTATCTTGTCCACATTTCATGCATATTATCTAACAAAGAGTAAAGACTTAATAAGACTTATCTAACAAAGAGTAAAGACTTAATAAGAGTAAAGACTAGTTGAATGAGTGAAATATCTGTGAAAATGAGTCATTAAATTCACTACATTTAAGTGATACTACAAAAATATCTACCTGTATTTAGATGTTAAATATACTTTAAAACATCAATTTTCAATAAGGTAAGAAAAACAAATTAAAATGAAATATTTTTACCTGTTTTTTTTTTAATTAATTTATTTACTTTTTAAATACATTTGTCTCTGCCTTCCCCCCACCTCTTTCCCTTGCCCCCTCCCACCTTCCCTCCCTCAGCTCTTCCCCTTTGGTTTTGTCCATGAGTCCTTGCTATATGTTCCTTGACTTGCCCCTTCCCTTCCCTTTCCCTGCCCCCCCTTCCCTCTTGTCTCTGTTGATTTCTTTTCCTTTCAGTGTTGCTGGTCATATTTTCCTTGCTTCTTTGCATTGTTGGTTAGGTTCCGCTTATAGGTGAGATCATATGGTATTTGTCTTTCGCCCCCTGGCTTATTTCGCTTAGCATGATGCTCTCCAGTTCCATCCATGCTGTCGCAAAGTTTAGTACTTCTTTTTTTCTTTCTGCTGCGTAGTATTCCATTGTGTATATGTACCATAATTTTTTGATCCAGTCATCTACTGATTTACCTGTTTTAAGAAAACCAAAATGGAGTTGTAACACACAATATTGTTGAGTATGGTGGAATGGACATTCTCATACACTGGGGAAGAATTGCAAATAGATGTACCCATTTTGGGCAAGTACTATAATAATATAGCAAAATTTAATATCTGAATATAATTTGACCCCCATATTCAATTTTTGGGATATACTTCAGGGGTGAATTATAATGAAGTTGATTGTAATGTTACTTAAAATTGAAAAAAAGAGAAAAATGTAAATATCTATCAGAAGAGATTACACTAAATAAAAATGAACATTCTAAGAATTGGAAGTAATGGTGTGCTTTGGTGAATCTGAAATTAATTTTTGTTTTTGATTCAAAAACTGTATGGTCTTTGCTTAAATAAGTTATTCTTTCACAGAAAGTACTTCTTTAGGTGTACATAGACTTTAGTAAAAAAAAATTTTAGTAGAATTGTATTTTTTAGGTAATAATCTGGAAAAGCATGAAAAATATTTGCATTTTCATGTAAGCAAATTCTTAAACTGAATAGCAAAAATATTCACAGGTGTAGATTCTTTTCTAAAACTATGCTTAAAGGGTAGAGAAAAATTTCCTTTTATACTTAAATAATATGTGAAAAATAATTAAAGGATTCTAACTGAAGGATGTGATCAAGATCTCAAAACAGCCCAAGTGTCCATCACTAGATGTATGGATAAAAAAAATATCTGTGATACATTACACAGTGGAATAGTATGCAGCTGTAAAGAAGAAAGAACTCATCATGGATGGACTTGGAAAGTATTGTGATATGTGAAATAAGATAATCAGAGAAAGACAAATACCATATTATCTCACTTATATGTGGAATCTAATGAACAAAATAAACTGATGAACAAAATAGAAACAGAGGCATGGGAACATGGAATAGATTGACAACTGTTAGAGGGGTCAGGGAGGGAAGGACTGGATGAAAGAAGGTGAAGGGACTAGCCAAAGAATATATATGCATAACTCATAAACACACACAACAGTGCAGTGATGGCCAGAGGGAAGGGGGTAGAGCGGAGTGGAGGTGGGTAAGAGGAGGGAGGGGGACATCTGTAATAGTGTCAACAATAAAAATAAAGTTAAAAAACTAAATACGAGACGACGAGAGCAAAAAGAAAACAGAAAAAAAAAGGGTGAAGTACATTTCTTTACAATCAATTGTTACTCTTTGAATTGTGACATTAAGAAAAAGAATGAAAAAGATGAACAATATAATGTGGAAAGGTTATGGATAAAAAATTTAATATAGTAATTGATAAAGGGGAAAAAAGTCTTAATTATGCTAATTTTAGTGTTGTAGTTCACTAATCAATCCTCCAGTGTCATCAATGTAAAGTCTGAAGAATACTTCCCATGTGCGAGTCACTGTGACAATTCCTGTTGGAAATGCAAACTTAACTTTCTTCCCTTAGTGTATAAGTTACATCTCAAGTATCTGGCACCAGCTAAATTATTCAGAAATTAGTTTTAAAAGTTTAAAGTTTAGAAATGTCTAAATAAACATTTTTAATTAAATATCTTTTGAGTAACTAGTGAAAGTTACTGTACTGTGCATTTTGATGACATAAAAATTTCTAAACATTTCCAGAACTTCAGGAGCTTGTAGTAGTAGATATTGAGGGTAATAAATTGGATTCAGCTAACAACTAAGTTTATCAGATGAGTTAGATTTTTTAATACAAATGCTGTTTGTGCGGGATGAGGAAACTTGATCCATGGGTTTGGATTTTATAAGTACATACTTAATAAGTGGACCACTGACAACACTTGGTTAGACAAATTTTTTTTTCTCCCAGCTTTCTAGTTCTAAGTCTCATTTTGGTAGCAAAACTAAATAAAAGAGTAAAAATAAAACAGTAGGGAAATATCACCAATAGGAACATTATTTCTTATCAAGTCATTTGCTACAAGCAATAAGCCTTTCTGGGCCCTCCTATCCCTTGGTTCTTGAGCTGTCGTTTTCTACCAAAGGGCATTACTTTTCTAAGTGGGTATTATAAATATTTTATTTATACACATACTTTCTGTAAGAATCATATTACAGAAAAATATAAGAAATTATTTTGAAATCAGTAATATATTTTAACATCGTTTATAGAGTTAAATTTTAAAAACTCAGGGCAGTGACCTGGCTGGTATGGCTCAGTTGGTTAGAGCATTGTCCAGCAAACTAAAACGTTGTGGGTTTCA